GATGCAGTGTTGATAGCTTCAGTTCATAGCAATTTGGGCAATCCGGCATGTATCCTCATACTTCTGGCACGTTCATTCAAAGTTCTGTTCATACGCTCTGCTACGTCATTCTGATGCGGTGTCATGGGAATTGTTGTCTCCATCTTGATCCCATTATTTGCGTAGAAATCTCTGAATCTACTATTTCTATACTCTCCTCCATTATTAGACCTCAACCGCTTGACTTTCAAACCAGTCTCATTTTCCACCATTACCTTCCATTTTCTGAAGGTATCAAAGACTTCTGATTTCTTCTTCAGAAAATAAATCCACACCTTCCTCGTAGAATCATCGATGAAGGTGACATAATATAATGAGCCTACAAGAGATGGAACTGGAGATAGTCCTCGTACATCAGTATGAACCAACTCTAACTTTTCAGCCTTGGATGTCTTGTCAATCTTTGCAAAACTGACTTTCTTTTGTTTGCCAAAGATGTAATCCTCACACAGTCTGACATCTACATTCTTTAGATCTGGTAGCTTCCCTTTTGACAAAAGTGTCTTTATCCATTTCTCGCTCATATGGCCAAGCTTTTGGTGCCATAAGTTTGATTTTCCATCAGCATCTGCTATTGCAATGATATTCTCTAAATTTGAGGTTACATAGAGAGTACCAGTCTTCTTACCACGAGCAATGACGAGTGCTCCTTTGGTAATCTTCATTTCACAGCCTGAAAAGGTTGTACTATATCCTTCTCCATCAAGTTATCCTATAGAAATCAAATTTCATTTGAGGCCAAGAATATGTCTCACTCCTTTCAGCTTCCAGGTGGTCTGGTTTGGCAACTTTAATCGGATGTCTCCTTTTCCTACGATCTTCAAGGTTTCATCGTCAACTAGATGAACCTTCCCAAAATCACCACTGACATAGTTCTCCATGATTTCTTGGCATGGGGTGGAATGGAAAGATGCCCCTGAATCCAAGATCAATGATTCAATTGGACTGTTGACGCTTAGAATCATGGCATCACCTGTCTCTTCTATCATATTGGCAGATTCGTGTGTATCGGTATCTTTCTTCGGTGCTCGGTAATCTATTTTAAAGTGACCATTCTTGCTGCAATTATAACAATTGAAATCTTTATTTTTTGTTCTTGATTTTCCCCTTCTAGATTTCGATCTTCAACGATTTGAATTTCTTTCTGAAGTTCTCCCTCTAGACTCCGTGTGCAAGGCTGAGGAGCTTGATGCTTCACCTGATTCTCTCCGTCGAATTTCTTCACTCAATACTAGATCCCAAACATCGTCGAATTTTAATTTGATGTTTCTCGATGAGCTGTTGACTGTTGTAACAGTAACATTCTAACTGTCTGGTAGAGTTGATAAGAGAATTAAAGCTCGAACTTCATCATCGAATTTAATTTCCACGGAACTCAACTGGGTTATGATTGTATTGAGTTCATTTAGGTGTAGAGCCACAGATGCCTCTTCCGCCATTCGCAAATTGAATAATCGCCTCATCAGGTGAACTTTATTTGAGGCTGATGACTTCTCATACATATTGGAGAGAGCCGCCATAAAACCCGCCGTGGTCTTTTCCTTTGCTATGTTGAAAACAACATTGCGGGATAACTCCAAGGGCTTGTCTGTCGAGAAGAGCTCAGTCTTCATTCTTCATGCCCTCTGGTTGCTTTCCTGAGAGAGGTTGATATAGATTTTTCTGGTACAGAAAATTTTCAATCTGCATCTTCCAAAAGCCAAAGTCCGCACCATCAAACTTTTCAATTTTCACATTCCCTTCGTCTGCAGCCATCGCTCCCACTTGAATCTGGCTTCGTTTGGATCATTTCTGACAATTTCTGTGAACCACCGTGTATTAGAACACCTCCGTCGACAAATTCTTTACTATTCATGAAATTCACTATTCATATGAATAGTAATAAATAGTAACCTCGCAGAAAAACTGACAAAATTCACCACAAAAAGCTCTGATGCCAGTTATTGGGAAATAAATGAGTAATTTCTCTATAACCAGATTAGTGAGAATGCGAAATAAAAGCGAAAAAATAATACCTGAAATTGATAACGGAGTTCAACTAATTTTGCCTACGTCTCCGGACTGTCGCAGATCTTTTACTAAAGAGAAAATTTACAGGTGTTTACAAAACACTCACAACTCACAAGAAAGCTCTCTATTATTGGGAGAAAGAAATGATTTTTGGGATAATTTTGAAGCTAAATGGGTTAGGGTATTTATAGTTGAAGCTTAAGGACTAATCTTGTAAATACCCTAAAGTGTGCAGAGACTAAATTACAATTATCCCTATTTCTTAAATTCAACAATTTTGGCTGCCCACTTTGAACCACTAGTCGCCCCACTTGCATGAAGAAAATTAGTCGGCTGCCAATCTAGAATTTTCAACAATCTAGAATTTCCAACAGTAAAAAATAACACATACTTTCTAAGGACACTTCTATTATTGTCCTTATTGTTTGATCCTTGGAGACAAGGATCAATCGAAGAGAAAGGGAATGACTTACTAAAATAGAAAGTAAACATTAGAGGCAAGAAGAATCGAGCAACAGTTAAAGAGCATGTGGAGATCAAATGGTTTGATATAATTCTAACTAATGGCATTTATGAAGGTTGTGATTCAGGAGTGGTTGCTTATAGCATGATAAAGGTCGTGAAGCCTAAATTAATGGTGTTGATAATTGCAACCATAAGCAAAGAATGTGGTGGACAGTCTATTATTTAATTAGTACAGTAAATGCTAGATACTAGAGAAAACATGGATTAGGCACTAAAACAACTTCTTCAAAAGGCATAAGGTAGAATGAAGTTTTATGCAGATAAAAAAATGACAATCAGAGATCTGAAGGTTTGGGCAGAGTTTACTTGAAGTTTTAGTCCTTCCATCAAACCTCACTTGCTCTTCGAAAAAGTTTAAAGCTTGCAATAAGGTTCTATAATCCCTGCACTGCTTTATAACGCATGGGATCAGTGTATAAATTACAATTACATGAGTCTTTGAAGGTGCAACCAATAAATCATATTAACTTGATGAATAAAAAATTGGAGATCAAAACATTTCCTCACGGGATTCTTTTGAGTTTGGACTTGAGGTATAGTTGAAGGTCCACCCATCTATGATGCTTGACAAACACAAAGTGAAGAAGCACAATCCAACTATAACTCAATGGTTGGTGCAGTGAACAAACTTAAGGTCGAAAAATGTCACGGGGAAAAACTATATTGTGCCTAAAGCACAATTCTTATGTTTTGATCCTTGGGAACAATGATATATTCTTGGAAGGGGTATTATCATGCACAAAGGTGAAATTATAAAAAAAAAAAGTTAGAGATTTAGAACGGAGAATTAGGGAATAATTCAATTAAATACAAAGGAGATGGGAAAGTGGAAGCACGTGATGAACACATGGGGTGCATGTGAAGAGCATGATATCCTTAGGCAAATCAGATGGAATGGGGAATGGGCCTGACACGTCCTACATCCCCCTAAGGATAGGAAACAACTTGTTTATCTGTGCAACAAGGACTGTCAACTGTAAGGTTTATCTATGTGTACATTGTAAACAAATAAGACCATGCACCGAAGAGATTATTTTTATGAAAATATTGAATGAAATTATCTTTTTCGAGACCTCTCTTCCTTCTTTAAACCTCCTATTCTCTCAATTTCTATTTTTATTTTCTTTGATCATCGTTCTTCGGTTCTCTTAAGTTCATAACAAATAATTACATAAATGTTATTTGTGAATCAAATAAAAAACAGATAAACTTAAATACATCTCCATTATTATTTCACCCATAATTATTCATTGAGTCAATTTTAATGAATATACTTTTATATAGGAATTTTTTTCACCAACAGAATAAGTGTTATGAAATAATTTTTTTTAAGAAAACTCTTGAATAGAGTTTGAAAGTGATCAAATATTCTTATATTATATTAAAAATTTATAAGTGATAAGAATAAGAGTACTTGACAATTTTTATAATATAGTTCTTTAATGAAATCTTTTAAAGTTAGAAAATCAACACTTGTTCAAGTTATATATAATTGCGTGGACAATAAGAGGCGGCAGGTGGTATAAAATAATTTCTACGAGAAAATAAAAAGCAGACGAGAGAGCAAAAGGAAGAAAATCTGGAAAGCCCAATGCATTGAATATGACTTGAAGGTATAATATTCAGGCCCTAATGAGTGCACACTTTATAATATAATTAAACCCCATCTTTTGGGTATATTGGGAAACATCAACTCATAAAACAAACAAGATCATAATGTAAGCAAGAAAATATTTATTAATTCCCAAACAACGATTACAAATATAAAATATCAAATCGTATATGTTAATATATGATTACTAGAATCCAAGTCCTAACCCATTGTTGTGAAACGAATTTGGAATTCTTTCTAGTCCAAAAATTTGTTTGAAACGAAAAATTAATCTCAAATAATTCATTTTCAATCAAAAATTCACGTTTAGAAATTTATTATTGAAAATCAATGTTTTTTCGTTTAAAAAGCTCACTGAAAAATATCGTTTGGGGAAACATTCTCAAACGAAGTGTAATAATTATCATTAATTAGTTCATTCATTTACCTAATATTTTTATGCTACTTGCAAGTTGCACGCATAACCAACAGTTTTGTACAATTTCTGGAAAAAAGAAAAGTCTATGAATTTTTCATCTTTATGGATTTTAAGAAAAAAAATTAAACTATCACGAGTTTTTAACTTGTTTTTGAAAACTCTATCAATATAGTATATCAAAAACTAAGAACCATTATATTTATATATATAAACTTGGTGAATAGTAATAAATTACGAGTTTAATGATGATTGTAATATTATAATTATAGATGCTATTAATGTTACAATATGATTTATTTTCTAAAATGAAATGTATTTTTAAATTATAAATACAGTTGATAACTTTAAAAAACGTTATGCTATATGTAGTATCTTGATACCACATAAAAGAATATTTAATTTAATCCCAAATGGGTTCAACCAGAATTTCTTCATAGTCAGTCATGAACACGGCATCATCAACCCCACACATCATCGGCTCGGCCAACAACACTGCACCAGCCAGTTCCATCCACATCTTGGGAGAATCCAGTGGGAACTCATTGATAGCTTGAATTTGGCTGGGTGACAATCCGGTCCTAACCGGACCAAGGCTCTTCCCACCACCGGGTAGCTCAGCACCCACCTCCGAGCTCAACTTGGGTCTTCGACCGAGCCTCAATGCAGCCTCTTGTGTCGCCACTTGAACGTCTTCCGCACTGGAGCTAGCCGGACGCGGAAGGCTATCGACCAATTCCGGAAAGTTAAGCCGAGCAGCTCGTCCTCGGAAGTGTAATGCCGCCGTATCGTAGGCCGCCGCTGCCATTTCGGCTGTCTCGTAGCTCCCGAGCCATATTCGGGTCTTCTTCCCAGGCTCCCGGATTTCAGACACCCATTTTCCCCATTTCCGTTGGCGCACACCTCTGTAACTTGATGGACTAACACTCGAATCGTGCTCCATTTGATTACCTTCAGCTGAACAAAGAAATTGATCAAAGTTGAAAGAAGAGTGATGCACTGATGGTTGAATGGATGGTATGTATATATATATATAGGGAAGTGATGTTGAAAGTGGGGACTGAGTTCATATTATGGAGGAAGGCGAGGTTCCGAGTAGCTACGTAAGTGCGCAGAGGCTGTCATCATGCGTGCACCTGGCAAAGTTTTGTGTTTCCAATGATGCAATCATATCCAATTTTCCTCTATTTGTTTTCCTACATTTTTTGTTATTATATTTTCCTCGAATGCATATTTAAAGGTTTATTGGCTTTTCATGGTAGGTGTGTATTATGTTTTCATGGATTTGTATATGGTACACAATGTTTATAATGCTAAACCCTAGTTAGCTGAGTTTAGACTTTAGACCCACTGGATTTCCGAATTTATAGTCTTTAAAAGGTAATTAGAGTTTAATTAATATCAAATACTAACTGTCCAAAAGAAATGGAAAGATATTGATATTTTTGCATGGTGGGAATATATATACCTTTATGCATGTTAGAAGGTTGTTGAGGTATTTCAAGGTTTAGGTTTTCCTTATTTGGGGAACATTTTTTTCTTTTTTATGATATATATATATATATATATATATATATATATATATATGTATGTATGTATATATATATCATAGTTATCAAATCTTTTCTTATTTTTAAGAGAAAGGACAAATCTTCGAGATTTGGAGTCATAAAACGGCTTCCTAATCTTTGATCACACAAATTTTGAATGATACATAATTTTGCAACTTTTAGTAGAACTAGCATGCATGCAGTACATACGCAACAAATCAAAAATAAAAGTTCTATAGCTTCAAAATTATACGAGTCGATTGAATTATAATTAGAGTGATACATAAAAATAATTCTTTAGTTTAGGGATGTTCTTATCTAAAGTGATAAAATTTGTTTAATTCCTAAGAATTTAGAGATAATAACATTCTCATTATTTTAACAAAAAAATATTATCATTAAGAAAAAAATATTCTATAATAATAATATTTTACATGAACAAAATGTGAGAATGTAATTCCGAAAAAAATTATCTTATTCGGTAATATTTTTTTCTGAGAACCAAACATCATGTTGAGCTGATTTCATAAATTCAAATATTAGAAAGGGGTAAATTTTTTTCTGTTAAAGCAAATGAGCTTTGGGTATATCCACACGAAACACGTAAGCTTTTAGAGGAAGAAAGAGACTGAAACAATATTTAATGTGGACGCATGCAAACGATATATTCTAAAAAAAATCTTAAAAAACAAAACGTATATGAAATTCGTTAAGTGGATTAAGCAATAAAATAGGAATGTTATTTTCTTAAATAAAATTATAATTATGAGATATATTTAAATTTTTAGTTGATTAAAAAATTTAAACATATATTATTATCAAAAACATAACATAATATGTAAAAATAAAATAACATATTATCTATAATTTAAAATATATAAAATTGATAATCGGTTTGCAAGTGACACAAATGCTAATGGATGACAGTTTAGACTTTGAAGGATCCAGCTGTTTCACTTAACTCTTTGACTTCAGCACATTTGGTGGTCTGTTCCAATCGGTCGATAATTTATAATTGTCAGAGGTCTTCTACGAAAGTTATTCTTAATCTATCATTGGGGGAAGCATAATATCCTATCTCCCCTTACTCCATTACATATGAGAATATGGTCAGCTAATTATTTTTTGATAAAAATATGTTAGAAAATATTAATGTTGACATGATCATCAATAATTTTATATTAAAAAATGTTTGAAGGCAAAGTTTTTTTAAGTATTAATATGCTTAAATATATTTTTTTGATATTTTTGATATTGTAAGAATTATTATTTGTTTGCCCATTTTTTTTGTCCCAGGCCAAAAATTAGTCAGAATCAACTTGATCTGTTCTAAATACTCTCAATCATTTGACAACGAAACTCAATCTCCTTGCTACAGTTACTGATGCTCGAAACTATGACTTCTAAGAATAATAACAATTTCTTTAACCATTGATATAAATTGATTTATACTTATATATTTTTATTTTAAAATATTATTCATAAATTTTAACATGTTTGTATTCTATATTGTAGACATATTAATAAGTGAATTTTGGTTAACTCAACCGTACTTGTGACTCGGTCGCCATATTTTTATAGGGTTAGCGCCAGAGAGGCATTCCTTTTCTAAGATTAAAAAACGTGCTGATTGGAATATAAATTAACTCAATTCAAACTCAAAAACATCTAAAATCAATAGAGATGGTACGATTGATCATTTTTATTTATATTTTATCTATCTTTAATTAATTTTAAAAAATTAATGTCATTTTTACTTAATTAAAATATAGTCATTAAAGATTAATTATCATTAAAATTTTAACAAATTATTTATGTGATATAGTAAATAGATAAATTAAAAAGGGTAAAGTACATAAATTGTCATTACTGTTTCAGTAAATTTTTATTTTCTGCTTAAATTTTTAAAATAACAAACTGGTGGATACTATTTTGTCACTAATATACGTCTCTAGGGATGGATATGAAACTCAAATTCGACGGGTTCCAACCGTCCCGATCATGTCAGTTTTTTTTAAATAAGATTCTGGTTGGGTCTTTTTAAAAAAAAATTGTTGGGGTCTAGTCAGACTCGGGTTTAGGGTGAAAATACTCAATCCTACCAGAAAAATAATGTGAATTTACCTTATATATATTTAATGATGATTACAATAATAATTTTATATATTATTATTTTTTCAATTAGATGTATGTTTTTATTGAATAAAAAATATTTTTATAAAGATATTTATTTCGAGCCCAATCGGGTTGGATTCGGGTTTTATCTAAAAAATCAAGTCAATTTCAAGTTGAGTGAAGTCATCCCTAAACTTAGGTCGGGTCAAGATTCAAGTGGAGAGTATATATTTTCGAGTCGAATAGAGTTGATCGAAAATCAGACCTGACCTATGCCAATCCTATTTACACATCCCCTAGCGGTTTTTTCATCCCTGTACTCCATACCGCTTATTAATATAAGAATCATAAGGAATTATTTGGTGGTTCAGTGATCAATTTTGTTATTTTTAAAATTTTAGTGGGGAAAACAAAATTTTACTCAAATATTAATTATTATTTGTGTAGTTTATCATTTTTTATTTTATATATTCACTATGATATGTGAGCAATCTATTAAAAATCTAACGACAATTAACTTTCAATGATCATATCTTAATTAAATAAAATTGACAGTGACCATATATTAATTAAATAAAAATAAAATAAATAAATATTATATTTTATGAAATCAATAAAAATATATAAAAAACATAAATGTGAGTGATCAATCGTATTAACCCAAATTAATAATATACTTTTAAACGACAGTTTTTTCTCCGTTTCCTTTTGAAAACACAGCTAAATACGTGGCCGTGTCTATGAACACCGCCATATATATGGATATGGAAAGCAGCCCGCTGTTGTCCACACCTGCGGTACGTAAATCAACTTTAAGAAAGGTATATAATTTGGAAGCACCCCAGGCCCCTCAATTCGTCAAATTTGGCTTCTTACTCCTATACACTCTAGACTTATATAATTTTTGCATAATTATATATGTAGACACACTTTTTCTAACCGAAATATACATATATATATTTATATATTATATATTATATATATGTATTATTATTTTTTAACCAAAATTGATACATGTTACAGACCCAGCACTACAAGCCCAGCAGCAAACAACCCATTTACAACTCAAGTGGCCCAATACAGCAAGCCCACACGCAGGCAACCCAAGACCAACATACACGTTAGGGTCTGTTTGGAAACCCTAATCCTCTCAACCCTAGTCCCAAGCGTCGCTCGATCGAACCCCAAAAACATCAGTACCGCATGCCCCCATCCTCACAACAACCACATACGAAGCTCTCGGTCTCCTCATGCTCCACGTCTCGCCAACGCCGGTTTCCTCGGCAACAAACCAACAAATCAAGTCAAGAAACGTTCAAGCACTAACAAGCAAAGTAGTTGAGTCCAAATCGGACTCTAAAAATAACCAAATCTGAGGCTATAAATTATATGCAAATTAGAACACAACACACACGATTGATGCACAGATTACACACGAAATACTAGCAAATACGAAAGGTCCGAGTACTTGTAATTTCCGAGAGCAAGAAAGAAATAAAAGGTAGCACGTTTTATTTTATTTTTTACCTTGTTTGGTTCCTCTTTGCCTGCGAGTGTTGATCTTTTCTTTTATTTTCATCTCTTCGTTCGAGTGGCCGATGACCCGGGGGAGAGTATTTGGAAAAGATCTACTCTAGATCTATCCTCCCAAGGCCTCCTTTTCGCAAAACCAACATGTTTTTTTGGAACAAGAGTACGAAGATCTCTCGAAAAAATGAAAAATTTTGATTTTTGCCGCCGATGACTGGCGGTCGGCGCCGATCAAGGGCGACCGACAAGCAGCGCAACAGTCGGAATCTGGTAAACACGGCGGGGTTCATCGTGTTCACCAAGAACACATGAACGAGGCAGAGGTTTTGAAGAACAGGGGGAGGCTTCGTTTTTTAGAAGAGGAGAAATGAGGATTAAAACATTTTTTTGGGTTTTATATTAAACCCATTGGACCTCCACGTCCCGACCCCTGATAGCGTCTAACTCGCGTGTTTTTGAAGTAAATTGGGTAAACTGCACTTTTGGTCCTCGTGTTTTTAAAAACTTCCAATTTCCCCCCAAATTCCAATTGTAACCCGAATTCATTTTCAAATTGGGCCCTAGTTTTCACTTTTATTTCAAATTAACCCCCTCTGTTATTACATATATGTATATATTTTATTTTTTATTTTTTACTCTTTACCTTTTTTATTATTATATTTATTTTCATTATTTTATTTCTCTATCATTATTTCCCCCCATATTTAGCTATTATTATATATATATATATATATATATATATATATATATATAGTATTATTTTTATTAATATATATACATATGTTTTTATTAATTTT